CCCCCGCCCCCCTTCCATCTCTGAGCAGACCCACCCTTCCCTGATGTCTTATCACCAGGGAGTTCATAATGTCTCTCTCCCACCCTTCTTGCTACGTTCAAGGCTTAGTTTCAAAATTTGAAGAGGATGTTGGCATCGGGGCATTGGGCCTGAAGTGGTTTCCTGCTTCTCCATCAGGCCTGTTTCCCTGATGAGAAGATGGATCTTACCTTAGACAGGGGCACACGAAGGCGGGCGTGGGCTCTCAGCTCAGGCCAGAACACGGCTGTGGGAGAAAGCTAGGCATCTGAGAGCCAAACGGGGAGGAGGGGTCAGGGAGTCCGAGTTGCCAGGAGGAAGGGCAGCCCCGAGGGGCTTCGACTTGGTGTTCAGCTTTAAGCGGCAGAGGAGGTGTAGAGGCAGGGGAGCCAACGGGTCGCTCACACACCTGGCTCCTCTGGGGGAGGGGCAGCAGCCTGGACTTTGGCAAGAATTAGAAGAAAAAAATGTGACAGCCTAGGGAAGGAGGCGGCTCTGGGGCACCGACGGTTTAGCCGAGTGAACTCAAGTCTAGCAACAGGTTGGCATGTCTTGGCGTCGCTCACAGGGCATTCAGCCCACTTCCCTTCCCAGCATCCTGCCCCATCTTGACTGAACTTCGGGGAACAAAGATGTGTCTGCCCCCAAGACTGAATGGCAAGTGGGACGGGCTTGTCCTGCGTGGCCAAGTGCATGTGGCAGCCAAAATGGGGCTGGAACAGGGATGGTGGTGAGGCAGGGGACACAGGCTGTGCCTGGGGCATGCAGAGGCCTCCCTAGATGGCGTGTCTTGGGTTAGATGGGTGATGGCGAGGAGTGAGGTTGGACTTGGTGAGCTCAGCTGTCCCAAGACGAGGGGTTCTAGGCCTGCCCGCCTCTGCCTCTGACGGAGGCAGGAGAGCTTGAAGGGACCTCGTCCCAGACCTTGGAGTCGCTGAGAGGAGTGGCTGTGCCCAGGATGTTGTCATCACTTGATATTTAGTGCGTATCAGAGGCTGCAGTCCCCATGGCGGAGTCGGAGGCTCCTTTTGTGAAGCGCAGGACCCGAGTTCAGCAAACGCCAGTCCCACAGCCGAGCGGGATCAGAAACCATCAAGGCAGCAGGCATCCTGGGTTCCCAGACTTGGCTGGGAATTGAGTCCTGGTGGAACCAAAGGCCGCGGGCAAGCGCCCTCGGGGGAGAGGCTGTGAGCGCACTGGTGGCGGGTCAGGGGCAGGACATTCTCCGCCCCCACCTGCCCAGACCTGTGGGGGTGGGGTGGGGGCCTGGCGAGGACCCTGGGGCCCGGGCCGAGGCGAGATTCAAACCACAGCCCCTCCC